TTTTTTTTTCTATAGGAATCTAACTTCCTATTATGCTTCCCCCATTTCAGTACCTCCTTTAAGAGACCAAAATTAATTTTACCTTTTCTTGTTAACTTATACAAATCAGTATAAGTATTCATTTCTTTAACATATAGTAATTTTTTAAAAAAATTTTTCCAGCTACTCCCTTTGTACGGTCAGGTCAACTGGCTTTTATGTCAGGAGGTCAACTATCATTTATCCTTATTGTTTTACATTCTATTAAATTCCCCAAATCTTTCCTTCCTAGCTTCTTCACCCTTCTAATTATAATTAGTTCATCAGAAGAAGGGCTGGCAAGCAGAAAATGTGTAGGAGTCAATTAGGCTGAATTTATCTGGAGTAAAGCACAAAGCTTTAAAGGAGACATTCCAAGGCCTGCTCCTGATAGCGTACTTCCAGAGGACCAAAGCTACAGGCCAACTGACTCCCAGGTGAAAATTACAAACTTGAAAATGCTAACGGTTGAAGTTTTTCATTCAGACCAAAAGTTATATAACAATTACTCTAAAAAAGAAACTGTTTTCCTAACACTCAATATTATTCAAACATATTATTCATCCAAACTTCAAATTTAAAAAGATAATAAAAGGAAGGAAAAGGAAAGGCACTCTTCATCCTTCTTTGGTGGGTGGTAGAAACTTTCAGTCCAAAGCAACTGTTTGACCTGCTGATAACTTACCTAGAACTTCTGTAGCTTTTTTTAACAAATAGTAAAACACCCTTGCAAATACTCTAAACACATTGAATCTTGAAAGCAATTAAACAGGAGAGGAAATAGGAGAGGAGATATCAAAGGTAATTTTTATTTTCATCCCAAATATTCGATTGACTACAAGCAATCCTTGACTTATATAATTCAACTTCCAGTGATTCACATTTGTAGTTTAGCCAATTATACCCTTATTTTTAGAGCACTGTTTTTTCAGACTGCTAGCTGCTATCCATTTTGTGCTGTGTGAAACTAACTTAGTCTTACTTAATTAGCATTCTTTTTTTAATGAAATGGAATACAACTAAATAGAAAATATCAGAAAGCATCAAAACTGTAATGGTAAGTACTACTCGTGTAGCTGGTTTCAATTATACTCATGTTTGTGTTTAATATGACAAGATATAAAATATATTTCTACTGTAAGTCGAGGTGAAAAATTGGGGGTGAAATGGACTTAGGAACCAAGCCCTAAGCTTACAGCACACATGCAAATTTCCAAATTAGTCTCCTTCCTGAAGTGCTCAATGCAAAGCTCCCTCGGGTTCCAAGTATCAGTCTACAGCACAG